CCTCAATCCCTAAACCCTAAGCCCTAAACCTTAAGCCCTAAACCCTAAGCCCCAAGCCCTAATCCCTAAACTCTAGTCCCTAAACCCTAAACCCTAAACCCCAGCCCTGGCTCCCCAGAATCGTAAATCGTGGGCCTAACCCTGAAAGATCCGAGCTAAACCCTAAACCCTAAACCCTAAACCCCAGACTGGAGTTTTTAAACCCCGAGGCCCTGGCCCTGGAGCACTTTCTGGAGGTTTAGGGTTCAGGCGCTTCGGCGCTTAGGGGCCTTAGGGGCTGTAGGGTTTAGGGGTTTAGGCCTTTAGGAGTTTAGGGGCTTAGCGGTTTTGGAGTTTAGGGGTTTTGGGGTTTGGGGTCTAGGGGTTTCGGGGTTTAGGGTTCTGGGTGGTAAAAGCATGCAAGGAACCCCCTCAAGCTGGGCAACGGCTTCTCCTCCACGGTTGCTCGGAAGGATTGCACTTTGCGTCAGGGCTTCGGGTTGAGCATCGCAGTGGTATGTTTAGGGTTTGGGGGTTTGGGGGGTTTGGGGTTTAGGGTTTAGGGTTTAGGTTTTGGGGTTTAGGGTTTAGGGTTTGGGTTTAGGGTTTGGGGTTTAGGGTCTAGGGCTTACGCAAGGTCGAAGTTTTGGATTTCGTGTTTAAACCCCTTTCTTTACCAAGCCTCGGTTGTGGTTAGGTTACTTCCGTGTCTTGCCGGCCTGAACCCTAATCCCGAAGCTCTACGCCGCCTTGTGTCCATTCGTGCGGGATCCTAGCCATACACTACCTAAAGTCTCCATTGTATTCCCTTTTTTGGTTTAACCAATGATATATTCAGGATTTCATAAGGTATCCCTAAACCCTAAACCCTACACCCTAAACCCGAAACCCAATCCCCAAAAAGGAACTGCAATGGAGACCTACGGTAGGTCAGCCAATCCAAGAACGGCCTTCGCGGGTCTCCGTAGGGTGCAGTCTGCAGGTTCGGTTTGGGGCTTTGGTGTTGAGGGTTTGGGAGAAAGGATTTAGGTTTTAGGGTTTAGGGGTTTTGGGTTCAGGGCTTGGGATAAAGGAAACCCTAAACCCTAAACCCTAAACCCTAAACCCTAAACCCTAAACCCTAAACCCTAACTTAGATTTCAGGGACAACCTGCTTCGGGAACCCGGAGGGCCATCGATATCAACCCATCTAGTCGCTAGTATGCCCTAACACCCCTGAACACCCCAAACACCAAACCCCAAAACCCCAACCCCTGAACCTCAAAATCCTAAGCCCTAAGCCCCCCAAACACCAAAGCCCCAAAAC